AATAAAGGAATTAATCACTCGAAAAATCCGGAGGGGATTATGCCTTTTTAGAAAGGTAGACAGCTGTAAACAGTAAATGGTTTTCTGAAAATAGGAAATAGCCTGGGTCTCGTTTAGCCCTAAGGGTATAATTTAACTCGCGTTTGACATCTGTTACAATTTCTTTTTCCTTCTTTACTTCTGCTTTCTATACAGGCCACGTGCCACATGGTGTCTAGTACATATAGGTATTAGGTAAACATTGGAGATCATTAATGATGGTTATTTATTATTATTACACTATTTATAATAACGTGCAATTTGTTTTACTATAATCTTGGAAAAAAAATAGAGACGCAAAAATTAAAAATTATAAAATTGTTCTTTAGAACACTTATAAATTAGTTGTTTTTTTTAAATATTCTGTAACTTTTCAAGTATTAAATAGTTTATTTGTTTATGTGTATAACTATACATAGAATGTTGTGATTCTGAAATATTCTAAATAAATTAAGTAATCGACTTACACTTACTTAATTCATTTTTTTCTATAATTTTATTTAACTTAAAATACATGTTGTATACATAGAGACTCAAATCCTGTTTTTTTATCAACTGATACCGGTGCAGAATTGTGAATTCATATTATTGTGTTTTATTATTTAATCTATGAACACGGTTTTTTGCTTTATTAGTTCTTTCACATCAGATTTATCTACCCCTCCCCCTTCCAAAAAAACCAAATAATCAAAACATTAAATATTCCTGGTTATATCACTATGTATATACAATACATGTATTGTAGTATTTATAATAATGGTAAACGGATCTCATTTTAAACTTACCTCAAAAATTGTGATGAGAAGTATAAAGAGTGGCGGTGGGCAACAACGATAATTGTCTGCATAATATTTCCGATCTCTTTCGTCCGTCAAGAACTCCTCTGCCACAAGACGAACCATTCTATAGAAAAAATATAAAATTAAAAAATGTAGACGAATAAAAATTTACATCATAAACTATTATAATATACATAATATGAACTAAGAAATAAAAATACAAAAGACAAACAGAATTGATAATCATTATCAAAGATAACGCTAAAGTCATCGGTGTGACATAGATTTCGAAGAATGGAAACAAATTAGTTACAGAAAATAATTCAATTAAATAGTCGGCTATATATCATGATCTAGTAAACTTTGGATTAGAAATGTATTCAATTTACGGCGGTTGCGTTTTAAGGTCAACTGTTAATAGTATATGTTCGTGTTTAGTTATCATAATAAAAAATATGAACCATCGTAAATCGTTAACCAGGATGATTTCAATTTCAGTTTTCCTGAGAACATACAARTGATCTTGCTAATTAATAATTATATTAGAAGTAAATACCTACATTATTTATCTGATAATATGGTATTATAAATTACCAACAATAAAATAAAAATATCGGCGATAACGACAACCAAGTAAGCAAAATCATTTTATTCCTAGTAAATTTATTTAAAGAAAGCTTATTAGTTAGTATACATTGTATTACTTTTTTAACTTAATACTGTTAAATTAATACATATAAAATATATACAATAAAAATTATGCAAAATATCAAACAAGGGCAATTAATATATATATATATATATTTTAATACTAAATTTAAATAATTTGAAGAAGGTAGAAAAAAAAATGTCAGGCGTCACATAACTGTAATGCTTTTTAAGTAGTAGATAATAAGAATAACTAACAAAAAGTAACAATTGTACACTTAGGTAGTTAGATAAATGTGTGCGCTTACTTTTGGTGTAATGTTGGTTYTTGGAATATTATATGAAAATCGTTTTCGCTGTTAACTTCTTTGTCCCTGTGATGAATGGCACATTTAAAACTCCGCCTCCTTTTGCCGGACATCTAAAACAAATATTTTAATGAGTACATCTGCTGTTCCGTGTTAAACAATGTGTTTTAAAATTAATTTATATCGTTCTGTATATTATTACAAACATAGTTTCATGAGTAAATATACGACCCATATAATATAGTAATATAATTGTATTGTACCTAATATAATGTACTGTATTAGGTATTCTATTATTTCATGACTTCATGTAAAACAACTTACAGCTTAGGTATTATTTCAATCTTCAGTTTACCTTGTTTTTCAATACTAAGAAWTTTTTTTTTACTATTTTGCATCCCAAGGGAATTTATGTTTGGATGAGTATTTATATAATATTATGGAAAATTGGCACTTTAGTATAATACTTGAAATTTATTGGTGTACCTATATAATTGTTAAAGAGAACGCTAATCATACGTACATACATTTTATATGTGATAAAATTTACAACACGTTTACACTGTATGCATACAGATTCCTAATCGTATAAACAAAATTATTACAGATTTAACTTTAAACGACGAGTAGCTAACGTCAATAAATGTAACAATAATAAATTTTGATTCTGAGAAAATAGACATGAAATATTCTAAACACTCGTATGTTTATATTTATATTATTTATTGTGTACAATTAATATGTAAGAAAATATTATACAATCACAGGTACTCATTTCAATATACTAGAAAATTACTTTCGGWACCTATGTAGTAATTTATGTGCTAATCAAAGCGAGGATTAAACCCTTTATAAGAAACATCAAGAGTGATTCTGTAATCTGTTTTAAATATTTTATATATATATATATATATGCTAATCAAAGCGAGGATTAAACCCTTTATAAGAAACATCAAGAGTGATTCTGTAATCTGTTTTAAATATTTTATATATATATAT